CTTATTGCAATTTCATTTTCATAATTAAGGAGATTGATTAAATAATTTTCGAACCTGAAGAAGCAATCACTATAATCTGTGAGATAGAGATCAGTAGTTAAAGTTTCTGATTTTTCAAATTGATATATGATTCCCTATAGAGTGTATCTAAATATCACCGAAAAAATTCAAGGGGCTATATGCCAGGTGATTTTTTAGGAAATATAGTTCATATGTACATGTGACCTAACTTGCTTCGTTTTCGAGACACAGGGTAGGTATTAATATTTCCATGAAAAATCGTTTTTTTATTCATTACTCTATTGTCTTTTCATTAATTTCAATAAAACGTTGTGGTTTTGTTAATAGTAATATGGAGCTTCTTCTGGTGCAATTACTCAATTAGATTCAAAATGATATTTCCAGTGGCGTATGTACACCACCATATCTGCTCAGACAGCCAAGCCGCACTAAGAGCCCTAAAATCATTCGTATTCACATCAAAGATCACATGGGACTGCTTTGAAACACTCATGCAACTGGTAAAGGACAACAAAGTAACACTTATGTGGGTTCCAGGCATGATAATGACAGGGCATGTAGGAATCAAAGGAAATGAGGCAGCTGATCGCCTTGCAAAAAAAGGTGCAGCATCTGCACTTTTTGGTCCTGAGCCTTTTTGTGAGTTAAGCAAATGTCACCTAGAGGAAAAACTCAGAAAATGGGAAGAAATTGAAAAGTCCTCCTACTGGAGAGCAACTTCAGGTCAACGGCAAGCGAAAAGGTTCATCAACCATTCGCAGAACCGAGCCAAAGAGCTACTCAGCCTCAACAAACCAGAGCTAAAGCTTATCACAGGCTTTCTCACAGGACACGGCCCTCTGAGGTACCACCTCAAAAAGATGGGCATGGCGGAGACTGACCCTTGCCGCTTTTGTGAAAATGCGACCGAAACCGCGGAACACATACTTTGCTCATGTGAAGTATTAGTCCGCCAAAGGCTGAACCACCTAGAACAGGTCTATCTCACCCCTGCTGAAGTGGAAAATTCAACCGCCAGGAAAATTGTAGGCTTCATCAGAAGTCTAGGGTTAGAGGACCAAAACTAGATTGGGGTAATCACAATAGATCTTCTAGGTCGCAGTGATCGAGAGGTCTCCCAGCCAATACCCCATTTACAATCTACAATCTACAAGCTCATACAGGGGGTTTATAAATAAAACCAATAAATACTTCTACCTTCAACATCCTGTATCTCAAAAATCGGAGCAAGTCAGGATACATGTTTAAATGAACTAAAACCCCTCGAATTTTTCCGGTGTTATTTAGATACACCCTGTAGATGGCTCATGCTGCCAACTACTTATTCCTAGAGAAATCATTCTGTGTTCATTAAACATTATACTTTTCCAGAATTGAGGTAGAAAATAGCGAGGAAAATAGTTACAATTCAAATAGGATAAGATAATACTTTGTGTATTCGAGCACGAATATGGTGGAATGTGAAAAATGAATAAAATGCCGTTTCTATAATAGGAAGTAGACTTAGTCATCCAGAAGTGTATTTGGGTAAATTTTCCAATCACATGCAAGTTTCATTCTATAGAAAAACCACTAATGTGAGAATATTGGTGAAACTCCATTATACAGGGTGTTTCAGATTTTGATCATGAAAATTTTATATTCGATAATACTCGCAAAAATACAAGAAGTTCATATAAACCCATTTGTTTTGGAGATTAGTTTTCGACTCGGTTTTTGAGATACAGGGTATATCCACATACATCTTATTCGCTTTTTTTTATTATCACCCAATATGAACTTCCATAATACTAAGAGTCAGTGTGGTCGGCGACCAACAAATTCTCAAAATCTTCAAAACATACTTTTTATTGCTATGTATCGAATTATCTCAATTTGTAACTTTGGAACTCCTGAATGAACCTACAATAAAATCTGGATTCATATTTATAAGATTTTATTTTTTCTCGAAAACTAAGCAAGCTACGAAAAAATTGTACCATGCATTGTTGAATCGAATAAAGATATGGAACTATAAGGAGCTTTCAAGCTGTGGATTATAAACATTTTTTTTTCAAACTTCTGATTGGAAAACGAAGCTTCAAAATATACAAGTATCTACCTAGTAAAAATTATCTACTTTTGTTTCTACGAGTTCTATATCATTTCAATTGTTTCGGTTACAATCTGATGAACCCTGTATATATTCTTGGTTTTTTATGATGAAAAAATCTGGGTTTGAAAAGTAGGGACCTAATTTATTTTAAGTTAGTTTTTTGGTAACTTTCTTTCATTGTGGATTTGAATTGGGTGTTCGTGATGAAACAGATTTTCTTCTCAAAATTCATCAACGCGAATGTCACGTCCTTTTCTTTATCTATATCCAGCGAACATATAATATACCAACACTGATCGTGCTACACGGTACCAAAAAAAGAACCCTAACGTGAGGTTTTTGTCACGGAATCGTGTTTCTGTCAAGTTTATATCTATGTCCTATAAGAAATTACAGTGGCTAGCGATTTTTCAGAACTCCTGACTTATGATAAAGATGGTAGTAAACATTCGTAATTCTGAGAAATCTTAGGATTGGAACACTCACTCGAGATCATGAACCGTTGATTAAAATTCTCATCCAGCAATGAAGAAAATCTGGTTCGCGAATTCATTATTCATCTGGGAACTATTATGAATACCTAGTAGCCATGAAAGTCAATTTATCACTGACTGACTGACATTTGACATTTTTCGAAATTCGCGAAAATCATGAACCAATAGATCTATTATTGAACGTCAAATCAACGTAAACTTTCAAACTGAGTATATGAACTCAGACAAATATGTCATACTTACCTGGCAGCAAGATTATTCAATACCCTGCCAACTGATGATATTAAATATGGGATCAATAGAATGATAATTCATCACTTGATTAATCCTAACAATGAGTAAACAAAATTAATATTATTTTCATCATAAGAATGTGTTGATATATGAGCATGGTTAATGGAAACTGCGAAGATGAGTCTATTGTGTTCATTAATATTTCCTCATTGTATTTATTTTATTATTCGTTTTTTGTTTATTTTGATTTGTAATTAATTATCTTTATTTATTTTCAATTTGGTCATCATATTGTAGCTAGTAGATAAATATTCACATATGATTATCTATATAAAAATATTTCATCTACTCAAAAATAATGCTCGAGTGTAATTCGGTAAGACAATTTGATGAATATAAAAATCACACTATTTGTTGATGGTTTACTCCACTTTCATACATAAATCAAATTGTCACTTATAGGAGAGTGTTAAACTTGACAGTTCAATGAGAATTTTGTTGCCTAGTAAATTAACGAAAAAAAATGCCTTCGAAATATTTTTCGGGTCCGTGGACGACTAATTCAGTTTTTTGAGTAAAATTTCCTCAGTGCAACGAAACTCGAATTATGAATGTTCAGTTTATTTAGACTCAAAAAATGCTTGAGTGTAATTCAGTAAGACAATTCAATGAATCCGTATTTCACACGAAAAAAAAAAAAGGATTTGTTCTCGGATTTGTTGCACATTATTTATGCATGAATTATTTTTGTTGGACTGAGCAATTTTTTGTTGAATCAACCAGATACATGATTATTTCATGGAAGAAGTTTGTTCAGATCAAGAATGAAGTTTAATTGAATCAACAGTATAATATCAATTCCATCATCAACAAAATATATTGTTTTCTCAAAAACTAATTATGTCGATCCAAAATAATGTCGATGTTGAATCAACTATGAACATTTTGTTGATTTGATGAAATTATGATTATATTTTGATGAGAATATATCTCTGAATACCGATGTAGCAATGAACTCGTTTCAAACGGATCATTTGCTTGAATAGAGCAACTAAATATGTATTATCAATGAAATATTTTGTTCCTTCTACATCAAGTTAAATTTTCGCATCATTTCGCCTCGTCCATGCCTGCCTCGAGTTCATTTTACGTGATGCCTTACTCTTCGTGTTTGAAATATCAGCTGGATAAACCGAACTTAGAGTGATTAGCAATCCGAAATAGTTTTGCATCGACTGATGAGAAGTGAAGACTGGAGATCTATGCCAGAAGTTAACTAGTTTCCTAGTTTAGTTTATTCTATTTCTGTGAAATTTCAGGAAATTCCCGAAGTAATACTGACTTTGTTTCAACAAAACAATTTGTCGAATGGGAATACAGTTTCTCTTGAATCAACGAAATATTTCATTGAATCAAACAAATATTCCATTGAATCAACCAAATAATTCATTGAATCAACCAAATATTTCTTTGAATCAACCAAATATTTCATTGAATCAACTAAAAATTTCATTGAATCAATATCTTGTTATTTTGAATCAAACAAAATGTTTTTTTGAGCCAATTCAATATCTCTGCATAAACAATTCATGGATGTGCTTGATAAGATCCAGAGTTCATACAAGACATATTTACTCGATTCAAACTTCAAATTCGCTCTGAAACAAGATTAAGATTTACTCATTTCAAGATTATATTTTGTCGTGCATATATGACACTTTTATTTGCTTCATTCAATTAAATTTTGTTTGATCCAACAATTTCTTTTTTTCCATGCACATTATTGTTAATGGATTTTTCAATTTATCCACTTCAAATCGCTCCTTTTTCACTGATTCAATACTACTCTGACAGCGCAAGATTGGGAAAGATTGACATAAACGCCATCAATGATTCGATCACAATTCTGAATGTCGTGGTTCCGAAATTTAGGTTCCGTCTTGTCGCTGGAAAACTTAGAACAACGTTTGTTCGCCGCCATAATGACAAAATCACATCAGCAGCTTATGTGCGATTTTTTATACATGTGTTAAATTATCCTTGTTTCAAATCGTACAATTAGCTTGATTGACAAAAAAAATTATGATTCTAGAAAAAAATAAAAATGTTCATGTCTTTTTGTCCGTTCAGCGTCTTTCTCTATACTCTCTACTCACCATCAACGATAGTCGCGAGGCAAAGGGCCAAAAACAACGCGAAGCGGCACGACAGCCGCGAAGAGGACATCGTAGTAGGCTTGGCGAGCACGCGAACGGAACAAGTGACGGTGTCGCGGGGTGCCACACGGTTCGCTAGCGAGAGCGGTCTGCCGGCAGAACACAGAACACAGAACCGTATGGTGGACACTGAATGGGACCGGCTGAGATTGTGGCCTATATGAACCACCACTTTCTACAGTGGCGACGACTGCCGTTTTTACCACAGGGGAACGTGGTTAGTACTTGCCCAACTTTTTTATCTACCCATTGTCTCGGAAATAGTCGTTTGATTCCTCATTTAAGGGCACAAACCTGTCAATTCACTCTCACGGGAAAAAATGACACTAAATTACATTTTAAGGAACATATAACACAAAAACTCAAAAACGCTTATAGTACGCTGAAATTGATTTATTCACAAAGGTATTTTCTAAACTCAAAAACGAAAAAAATGCTTTGCGACGCACTGGTATTGTTACACTTTAACCAGTGTGATGCTGTCTATGGTCCTTGTTTGAAGTCTGCCGATTCAATTAGGATTCAGTAAGTACAGAACTCATGCAATTAGATCGATTTATGCGTATTGAAAAACGCGGAACTATTTCACACAAATTCAAAGAGCTAGGGTGGCTGAACATGTACAATAGACGTCGTCTTCACATGGCATGTCTGTTTTTCAAAGTATACAAATTCAAAAACTCACCATATCTCCATACCAAACTTTCTTACAGAACTGAAATTGATAATCTTAATATCCGTATACTACTTCTACTTACAGTACCTAAACACAAAAAAGAAATATTTAAACGATCTTTCAGTTACAATATCTCAATATTTATAAACAACTTGAAAGCACAAGATAGGTCACTTCTGAATTTATCTATGAGCACTTTCAAATCAGAGTATAAAAATATATTACTCCTTGCCCAGTCATGATGAATTTCTTATGTCTATACAATCTCTACAGTTGCTCAATTATTTTGATGTAATCATGTTGTGATACTTGTTCCAACCTAGTTTTTTTTCTTTTTTTTTCTCATTTCTGTTCTATTCTATTTCATGTTCTTTTTTCGCTTACTCTTCTTAATTCCTCTCTTTTCTTCACTTCCTCTATTCCTCTTGTCATCTTAGGAATTATCTCTATTAAAATATCGGCGCTGGTGGAAGAACAGACGTGAGACATGACCTGGCGGCATCATCTCTGATACTCTGAATCAGAATGGCTCTTTATTCTCTGAATCAATTATATCAGAATGTAGAATGTAATCCTTATATGTATCTATTTGGTGAACAATATAAGCATCATTATTCTTATTATTATTATTAAAATACCTCCCGTCGTGGGAGATCTGTGCTAACAGAGTACCTGAACAGTGTCTCAATCACCACTAACAATTTTCTTTTCTTAATCACATAACTAAAATGGAATTTAGCGTGGCTATATGGAAACCACTAGGCATTCAGGAAAGAATCACCTGTGTATTCGTTCATAAGAGTCGATGCATACATTTCGGAAAGATGTAATTCAATGTTCTCCGTGGCATTCGGATAGTAGTTGTTTTTCTCCCGAAATTTAACATTTCTCGTTTATTAAACTCTCGCTCCGCTCTGCTGCACTCATACTAAGATGACGTTAATAACACTTTCTACATAATATACCATTTTGAACTCCAATGATCTTATATACTTCCTGATATTCCATAGTGATGCTCAATCGAAACTGAAGCACAATTTCGACGCTCTCAAATATATGCGTTCGTGGATCAAATCATATATAAATCTTGGGAGCGAAGGTTTGACGAAAATATAACTCCCACGAAAGAAACCAAAAAATTACCGCACTCGTGTGAGGTGACATATCTTAATCCAAGTATTATCAGTGTCTCTATCACTACTTATTATAAAACAAATAGCAATTTTCTACTTGAATTCCAATGATCAAGAGCAAAAAGCCAATAAAATGGAAAAATGTCATCTTTGCGGATATCCGAAAGTGCCGCGATTCAAACTGATCCAAGTTAGTGGCAGAGCGCCAATCTTTTTTCTGAATATTTCACCCTCGTCGAAAGATAATATCCGATGGACTAGCGTGGAAGTCATGTGATGCTCACACTACAAGTATTCCAATCCACATGTTGATTTTTACACAGGTCCATCGGATATTATCTTCAGAGGAGGGAGATATATTCTAGGGAGTATTGATACGCTCTGCCACTAACTTAAATCAGTTTGAATCACGGCAAATTTGGCAATTCGCAAAGGCGACATCGTCTGTTTCTATTTGCTTCGTGTTCCAACTTGTTGTCAATGTCAGTGTCAATTATGATTACTAATTTCATTAGAATTCCTTGGAACGTTGCGAAGCAACAAATTTTTTCTGCCTAGGCAGTAAAAGTACACGTTTCCTACCTGTTGAGCGGCATGAAAGAGCCACTATCCCTGCTGCTTGGAGTAAAACAATTTATTCCTCTTCTTTTTCCAAAATGAGGTTGAAAATTCTGAAAATTTCAGTCGTATGTTCAAGTTAGACACTGAAAACAATATGAATGAATGATTCTTATTGTAATTATGTGATGACTCTGAATGTTATAACACAAATATTTTTATCGGGCTAAGTATGCTTAGGACTATGTTTTGATTATAATGGCAGAGTATGATGTTTGTAGCCTGAGCAGATAATAAAATTAGAAAAAAAATTATATAATTTTATTATTCAGGAAACTGCCTTTTATTAAAGTTTGTATAACAAAATCATTAATCACAATGACAAGTACAACATTGATTAAATACAATATCATAATATATAATACAGTGTGGAGTAATGTTCCACAACACAGTTTCCAACATCCTCCCTTTATGGGATATTACTTCAATCCCATCTGTACTACATTGAGGTTGAATTTTTTCACCAGTGAGACTTTTTGTGAGTGAATCTGCTAGCATATCATTAGTTCCGATTTGCTGAACCCTGATATTCCCTAGCACTTGTTGTTCTCTCACGAAGTGGTGCCTCACGTCGATGTGCTTGGTTCTTGGTCGATAGGCGCTATCTTTACTGAGATCTACTGCTCCCTTATTGTCGCAGAATATGTTGATCCTCTCGATTTCTTTGGGGAATAGTTCTTCCAGTAATCCCTTGAGGAAAATAGCTTCTCGTGTTGCTAAGCTCAATGACATATACTCAGCCTCCGTGGTCGACAGTGCAACTGTAGGTTGTTTTTTTTGATGTCCAACTGATTGCACTCCCGCTCATCATAAAAATGTACCCAGCAGTTGATATTCTGTCGTCAGCATCACCTGTCCAATCTGAGTCACAATATCCACATATATCCTCCACAGACTTCTTGAAAATCAATTTCAGTTTAGAAGTCCGCTTCAGATACCTCAAGACCCGTTTAACTGCAGTCCAATGTACCATACTCGATTTACTGCTGAACCTGGCCAATTTTCCTGCAGCAAAGCAAATATCAGGCCTTGTGCACTGAGCAGCATACATTATGCTTAAAATGGCTTCCCTATTAGCGACTTTGTGACATTTCTCTACTGCATTCGTGATCATCGTTTTCTTCCTTCATCGTCAGTAGTTGGTTTGGATCCAGGGGTGTTAGTACTCCGTTACATTCAGACATATTGAAACGGGACAAAATTTCACCAATATATTTTCCTTGGTCCAAAGTTATCACCCCATTGTCTTTATCTCTCAGGATTCTCATACCAAGACAATAATGGGCTTCACCTAAGTCCTTCATCTTGAATTTTTCAGCTAACTGATCCTTGAGTTTCTTCTTCTGAATTGCATCTTCAGAAAATAGAAGGAGATCGTCCACATAAATTGCCAATACCATCATCTCACTTTGTTCTTGTTTAATATAAACACATGGGTCCATATTTGATTGTGAACTTCAGACTCTTCAAGGCCGAGTCCAATTGTTTATTCCAAATTCGACTCGATTGCTTGAGACCATATAGTGTTTTCAAAAGTCGGCAAGTAGAATGATTTGGCAGTTCCATGTATATTTCTTCGTCTAATTTTGGATGCAGAAAGGCTGTAACTACGTCCATCTGGTCTATGGTTAATGAAAGCAACAGATTAATGAGAAAACGGTGTGCATGAATCCACTTTTAATATTAATAAAGAAGAAGAAGAAGAGAAAGATTCCCAAGCGTCCAACCGGACCAACTCATTCGTTACTCCACTGACTTCTCGGCCGAGAAGAAGAGCGAATTATCCGCGCTACATTTGTCTTTGAGTAAGAAGCTAATTGAAGATTTGCGCTGATACGCTATTGTTTATGCGCACCGTCCGCCATTGGCTATAATAAGGAGTTTTGTAGGTCTGCGACGGGCCGAGACTGAAAAACAGTCATGGAGGTGCTCCTGGGAGGGTAGGAAGGCAGAAAGGGTGCGACTGTCACCGGCCCTAATTGCCAATACTTACTGTTTTTCTTAGTGGAAACTTCAATCAATACAATAGGATGAAATTACTAACGGTTATCGAAATTTTCATATTCAACAATGAGCCTTTCCAGTATCGTGAAAATCGAAAGTCGAAAACGTTATCCTTACCACATATTTAACGAGAATACCGAGCAACAAATGAACTATTTGCCGCTGTAGCCAGATCTCTATAAAATCCTTGAATCGAGCCTATGTGGAAAATGGTGCAAGTTGCGAGGAATATCATGATTGACAACTGCTATGTGTAGTACGTGATCAAATTCATTGCTGATCACATTCAATGCAATCTGGATTCCGAGGTATCCCATTAGATTCAAAATAAGCCAAGATGAAATGAGATGCAGCCATCTAACAGCAAGACTCTTTTTATATACAGTTTGGTTCTTATTACGATGTTGATATTTTGTTGAATAATTGTTATAATCAACAAATAAAACACAGGTAATATTTTTTGAATTGACTCGGCCATTACTCCATGGAATTCCTTGGCAAATGTGGAAATCTTATCTTTTGTGAAGTTTTCACAGTTCTCATTCTCGGAAGAATCAATTCCTAATCTGGCAGCTGTGTCTACAAAAGAGAAGAGATGAAGCAACTGGGGCCAGCACAAGTTAAAAATACCCAATTCTCAGCATTACTTCACTGTCCTCATTTCTCATTATTATTGACAAGAAGGCA